GATGAGGATGAAGGCACAAGATGACTATGATGAGGATGAAGGCGCGGATGAGGATGAGGACAGAGGCTGAGGCTGCAGCCATGGAAGCAGATGCAGCACGGGATGAAGATGGATGCTCGGTTGCCACGGCGACGGCGCTCCAGACCCCGCTCGGCACACGTGTCCCACCGTGACGCAGCCGTCCCCCCCTCGCCCACCCCCAGCAGTGTCCCCCCCCCCCAGTCCCTGCTCCCACGGCGGGGAGGGGGTCCCCCTTCCTCCGCGTCACCTCGGGGGCACCGCGACCCTTCTCCGGCAGCTCCTCGGCGGCCCCCCCGAGCCCGGAGGCGGCGGTGAAGGCAGCATCGATGCCGTCCCCGATGTCTCTCATGTCCTCCAGCGCGATGGTGAACTGCGCCAACGTCCTCACCATCTGCAGCATGCGGGTCCCGGGCTCGGTCCGTCCCACGCGGCCCAACGGGAAGGAGAAAAAGCTCAACCTCTCCCCCGCGGGGGGGCCCCCGCCCCCCCCGGTTTGGTAAAGAAAAAACCGCCGCAGCGGCGCGGAGGGAGATAGAAGAGAGGGAGCTGTTAAGAGCCAGCCGTATAAAATGATAACACCGACAGAGCCCTCCTGCAGAGCGGTCGTAAGCTGCGTGCGTCTGCGTGCGTGCGTCCGGGGATGCGCGTGGCCCCGGCCCCGGGAGGCGCCCACGGGCACCGGGGTGGAGAGAGATGGGAGCGGGGCTGAGCGCGGCGGTGCGGCCGTGCCCACGCACGCACGGCGCAGGGCTGGGTGATGCTGCAGGGAGGGGGGCTGCGGCCATCAGCTCCTGGCAGAGGGGGCTGTTTTGTGGGGGTGAAAGGGGTGGTTTGGAGCCGGCTGATGCGTTTTCCCACTTTGCTCAGCGCTGGGGGGGGTCACAGTGCCTCCAAACGTATTCCCTGCGTTAGGGTTCGGCGCATCCTTCTCTCAAAGAGCATCCGTGATTTCCAGGGTCTGGTTTTTAAAAGAGGGAAACTGAGGCACGGAGCAAACCTTCCCCGTCTTGTAGGAGCTGGGGAAACTGAGGCACAGAGCAGGACCCCCCCCCCCCCAAAAAAAAAAAAAATCCCCCCCTTTAGCCCCCCCCCCCCCCCTCACTGTCCCCGCCTCTTCGTGCAGCGCTTCCCTCCTGCTTCGTTAATGAAAATCTAATTAGCCGCTTGTCCGTTTCCCCAGCAACGGCATGCAGCAGGGCTGCACCCTACTGTTGCAGACAGGCAATTTCCTCTCAGCGCCGAGGAGGACGAGCAGCTCTCCCTGGGGTGCAACGCAGAGGACGGGCAGCTCAGTGCATGTAATGCGGGCTGAACGCAGACGTGCCAACAGCTTTAAACCCTCCCCATCGCTGTGATTGGGGAGGAGGGACCTGGCGTAGGCTGCATAGGGCTAATTGCATTAGGGGTAATGAGGCTCTCTGCAAAGCCCTCGTTAATGGTTCTGCAGCATCCTGCTCAGCGAGGGCTCGGCTTGGTTGCAGTCAGGGCCAATTTGGATTGAAATCATCTGGATCGCAATCCTGGACCCATTTCTGTTGGAGTCGCAGACACACTGAGATTATAATTTTGGACCCCTCTGGGCTGCAATCCCAGATCTATTCCAGTTAAAATCCTGGATCTATTTGGGTTCCAATCTCAGATCCATTTCATTTGCAATCACAGATCCACTGCGTTTGCAATCCTGGACCTCTTTGGACTGCAGTCCAACCCAACTGGGTTGCAATCTTGGCCTCTTTTCATTGCAATCCCAAACCCACCTGGGCTGCAAACCTGGGCTCATTTGAATTACAGTCTCAGACTCATTGGGTTTGCAATCCTGGACACATTTCTGTTGCATTCCTGAACTCTTTTAGACTATAATCCTGCACCTAAATGGGATACAATTTTGGACCCATTTTAGCTGCAATCCTACACCTACTGAGGACTCAGTCCTGGCCTGATGGCTGCAATCCTGGAATCAACTGGGTTGATATTTTTGGACCCAAATGAGATGCAATCTTGGATCCATTTTAATTGCAATCCTAGGCCCACTGGGCTTGCAACCCTGGGCTCCTTTGTGTTGCAGACTTGGATCAATTTCTGTTCCAATCCCAGACCTATTTGGACTGTAATCCCAGACACACTGGGGTTGCCATCTTGGACTCACTTGGCTTGTAATATTGGACCCATTTGGGTTGTAATATTGGACCCATCTAGGTTGTAATTCTGGATCTATTGGGGCTGCAATCTCAGATCCATTTTAGCTGCAATTCCAGACACAGTGGGGTGCAATCCTGAGCTCATCTGGGTTGCAAAGTTGGACCCATTTGGGCTGCAATCTTGGACCCATTGGATTGCAATCCCAGACCCAGTGGGGCTGCAATGCTGAATCCATTGGGATTGGAATCTCAGACCCATTGGGGCTGCAATGCTGAACCCACTGGGACTCCAATCCCAGACCCAGTGGGGCTGCAATGCTGAACCCATTGGGATTGGAATCTCAGACCCATTGGGGTTGCAGTGCTGAACCCATTGGGACTCCAATCCCAGACCCATTGGGCCTGAACCCATTGGGATTGCAATCCCAGACCCACTGCAGTTGCAATGCTGGACTCAATGAGATTGCAATCCTAGATCCATCTGGGTTGCAATCCTGGACCAACCAAAGTTGCATGGGTTGTATTCTGGGATCCACTGGGGTTGCAATCCTGGATCCATTGCAAGTGCAATCTCTGCTGCAGTCCTGGACTCATCTGGGCTGCAGTGTTGGACCCATCAGGGTTGCAATCCTGGGCTCACTTCGGCTGCAACTCTGGACCCAGGTGGGCTGCAACCTCTCACCAACTGAGGCTTCGATGTTAGACCCCTTTTGGTTTCCTTTCCAGACTCACCAGCCCCCACCATGCCCAGGGAGGAGCTTCATCCCTCTCCCCGTGCAGAAGGGCGTTCCCATATCCCTAAAGCAGTCCCCATTCCCATCCACCCCCATTCCTTTATTCAACCCCTTCCCACGGCGGCGCCGCAAGTGGATTCTCCAGCGTCTACTGTTAGGGTTGAGCTCCCACGGCAGCGCCCTGAGAGCTTGAAAAAGAGGGAGGAGGGATGGAGAAAAAGGCTGAGTGAGGCAGCAGGGCTGAACCCTACAGCACCCAAAGCTTTTCTCACTGTTGGAAGGGGAGGAAAAGCTGACGTGCCACTGCCCAGCCTGGACCCCCCTGCGCGCGGCCCGCAGCCCACAGGAAATTCCTGGGAGTGTTTGGGCCACTCGAGCAGCACAGCCTATTTTTAGGGAGGGCTAAAATATGAGCCAGCTATTTTTAGAGAGGCTCTTTGTAAACACCTTGAGACTTCCTCTCGGATGAGCTTTGTTTGTAATTTCGGCGCCCAATGCCATCGATCCACGGGTTCCCCATCCCCTCAACCCCAAATCACACCGGGGAAAACTACTGGCTTCCCCCCTTGGCTTTTCCTTTTCCTCTCCTGCAATGGCAATCCCAACCCTGGCACCGCAGGAGCAGAATCCCAGAGCCCAGAAGCTCACTTAGCTGCTCTGCTCCACTGTCATGCAATGGGGCTCAAATGGGTCCACAGCTCAGAGCAGCGGGGCCCTGCGAGCATCACCCCACACCCAGCAGACACAGTGCCTTCTGGCACAGAAGAGATCCCTTTAAAGCAGCACAACCTTGGCCAGCAACAGCCACGTCCCCATTGATCTCCAAGCTTTAATTCATCCCCAGAGCACCAATTTCCAAAAACTGATATAAATGTAGAGCTGGGCACCACGGTGAAGCAATGGACGCTGTGAGCATGGGCATCGTCGGGATCTTTACACTGCAAAATATGCAAGAAAGTCCTCCAAAATCTATTTAGCTTTTAGGAGAGAGGGAGCTGCATAGGGTTGTATAGGGACTGGAAATGGTCCCCATTGTGTCAATCTGACTTCAGTCTCCCCCTAAGGCTGAGACTGTGCACATATCAATGCATGTCACAGCCCCGCTGCCAGCAGGAACTGGGACATGAGGGTGAGTGTCAGCAGTGCAGTGATCACTGCCTTTGCACCCTGCTCTTTACCTGCTTTAGCCCTGCTTCAGGTGAAACAGGAGCATTTTGGATCATTTTTGGGGCAGGGTTTGCTGCTCTGAAGCTCGTCCTGCAGGAGGAGCAAGCCCTGCATGGAGAGTTGCGGCTTTCTTCCCACCCCCTCAACATGTGCCAAAATTGAAAGAATAAAACCAGGCACGCACACACAAGTTGCTTTCCTCGTTTACAGCTTGTCCCCAGCCACCAGCTCCTGACGTTCCGCAAATAATGTGGGAATGCTTGAAGGAAAAGCAAAACCAGAGCCAAGCTGAACCCATCTTAGTGTCTCTCCTCCTCCCGAGTCCCACTTTGCAAGGAACTGGTGGGAACTGGGATGGGAACTGGGATAGGAACTGGGAATTCCATTCTCCCCAGGGCAGATCCCACTAGAGGGAGCTGGGATACAATAAGAACCACTGCCTCTGGGGACAGTCTCCTGCCCTGGGGAGGAAGTAGTGCGTGGGATGTCCAATCTGTAGGTCTAGATTAACAGCTTTAATGCTTTATTTGTCCCAAAACATGGAGAAAAGGGCACAGAAAGAAGGCAGAGCCATTTCCACCTAAATAATTGGTTTTCTGGTGGCATCTCCCCGGCACGGTAAGCTTGCTCGTGCACTGCAAGATGCCACATCCTCTGCACACAAGGAGCCCCCATTTTGGGGCAAAATGACCCCAAATCTACAAATCTACACACCAGATAACAGAGCGTTTGTTACCTTTGGGGAACTTCAACCACCACTGGGAACGTGACACAGTCATCCCTATCCCAAGCCGCACTCTGACCCCTCACTGCTTTCCCAGCCGAGCGCTCCTTTCTCCCTGCGCTTTCTCAGGATGACTCGAGGGCCAGAGGAGGGGTTTCTGGAGGAAAGTTTGAGGTTAATGAAATGAGCCGTTTATAGGGCTGGCGGTTCGCAGTGATGTGGCTGACGTGAAACCTAAATAGCTCGGATGATGCTATTGCGTCCAATTCCGTATTTCCTCAATTGCTCGGTTTCTGGCAGGAAAAATCACTCGGAAAAATCACGTTCCCTCCTCTTTTAACCAGAAGGTTTGATTGGAGTTCGTATAGCTTTCAAGGCAAGCCCATCCACCCAGCCCAGCCCTCCGCTGGCCCTTTGCCTTGGGATGAATTTCCCACCGGCAGCGGCGGCGTGCGGCTCTTGGCTCCCCTCCCACGTTACTCGTCCCCAGTGCCCTGAAGTCTGTCTGCCTGCAAGCCGTCCCAGCGTGGCTGCCTCTGGCCTGAGGACGGAGCTGGGAACAGCCATCTTTTTGCAGCATCCATCTCCAACATCCCTGAAACTGGCCATTTTCATCCTTGGGCACCAATCTCCCACA